TTGAACCAGTGGCTTTTATTCGTTGCTCGCCTCCAGCTGCTGTCTGTCAAGCGCTGGGAGTCGCTTAGGTTTCGCCCAGCTTTAGACGGCTATCCCGAAGCGGCGATACAGAAACACAGCTCCTGGGTCCCATCCCCTGAATGGCGGGGCGACTGTCTCGGTTATTTACGCCAACGGCGTAACGTTGAAAGCAAATTGATATCATGTGGATTTGGCTTTCACTTTGTGGAATCAATAGGCGAAATCCTTTTGGCAGAGCCTGGCACAGACCCGCTTTGCCACTCTGCTATTCCGGCTCCTGCCGCCACTCGAGTTAAGCCAAGGATAATGATTATGTTGCGCAACGATGAGAACAACGAATGCGGGTTGGATAGGGGAAATGGTAGCTTTTCGGGGAGGAATGGGGGGGAATGGGAGAGAATGCTTTTGCATAGCCCACTTAGGAGAGGTGGAGATGGAGCCCGAGGAGGCAGGGAATTTGTAATCGACAGACAATCGACGTGAACAACATAATGGATATCGAACTGGAACTTGAAGTAGGAGCTGTGGCCCCACACAGCCCCAAAAGCATATCTCAAGGCATTGCAACTAATTGGCTTTCCTTAAATGCCAGACAATGCGGCTTGGGGGCAAGAAGGGCCGGGCCTACCGCCTTTAACCGCAAGGGACTGGTTGGGGCCGGCCACATCCCACAACTCCTTAGCTCTCCATCGGCTTCTCCTGTTTGTCTTCTATGCCACTTGATTGGAAAATCAAACTAATTAAAAGATTTCAATTAAACGCCGAGCTGGGAATGCTTTCCACTGCCACTCCCATATCTCTCTCTCTCTCTCTCTGTATGTAGCTCCTTCTCCTAACTTTCCACGTAGTGATTGCGGGCTACTGGCTACTGCAACTGAGCTTCTGGCTGCCTGGCCACAGTAATTCCATTAAAATGGCAAATCAATTTCAATAAATTTCATTTCACAAAGTGAGCAAAAGGTGGGAAGCGCAACGGCGAAAGGAGCAGCACACACCGATCTGTTCTGGACACGGAATCTCAACGCTTCTCTGTCGCTGCTGGGTCATCATAAAACTGTTTACATGCTGACAAATCTGTTAATTGAATCGCAAATCCAATTAAAACTTCAATTTTGTGGCACAACTTTTGTAGCTAGTGGCAAAAAGTTCAAGTGCATAAATGGCCAACATGTGGAAAAGGGTGAGAGAGGGAGGGTGACGGGAACGGGCACGGACGCCTTTATGTCAAACTTTCGACCCGCAAAAAATGTTGTCACATTTTTGGCTTAGTCTTTTACTTTTACAGCGTGTAAATTCAATATAAAATGTATTCAGTTGAAACTGCATTAAAGCGTACAATTTCCTAATTAGTGTGTCTGGCATTTACACAGGCTACACCGAGCGCCTGCCTGCCTGCCTGGCTGCCTGGCTGCCCTCCGGTTTGGAATTTCTGCACGCAAAAATAGTCAAAGCGAAACCGCAAGCTGCGCATAACTAACTCAACTGCTATATTCGGCCCAAACCCGCAGGGACAGTGCGCCCCACTTGTACATCTCTACCCTCCCCCAGAGTCGTCCTAGGGAGTGGCAGCAGCCTCTTCCCGCACTTCCTGGTGGCCTTCCGCCGCCCATCCACCAGTGGTCTAAAAAATAGCAACATATACAATTTCAAATACACCGTGGAGATGTGCGAGTCGCAGTGACTACCATTAGAGATGCGAAAATGCCTTTGGGAATTTGTATAGTTTGAAATTGGGGAAATGTACATCCCATCCAATCAAATAAAATTGGGGAAATTATTTAACTTAGATCTACTCATAAGTAATAGAACAAACGAGGAACATTTAAAAGTAGATAACAGAAACAACAAACAACAACAGGGGCCGAAATGCATTTGGTATGAATTTATCAAACATTATTATAGAGAAACTACATACTCGAATTTGCAATTATTTAAGAGCGAATCCTGTTGTATGTTTCTAGTCACATATCACACAATTATAAGCTACATCTGTTGCAGCATTGAAATAAGATATCTATTTGTACTTTCCAATCAGGCAAATAAACAGGATTTGTAAAACATGTGCAGCCCATGCCAGCCTACAAATTATTTCCTGCCCAAAACATGTTGCACAATATAAATACGATATCCGATTGTAGTTTCAAATTTGCCAACAGACATTACCAGCGAATATTGTGCATCTCTGGCCCACACATTCAGTTGGGGTTTTGGTTTCCATTTCGGGTTAGTTTTCGTAGATGGCCGGCACCGGTGCAGCTTTGGAGCCCATTAAAAGTGCATTTAGTGAGAATTTATCAGGGTGCTGAAAGGTGGCAACCACAGGGGCATTTTCAGCTACAACTTCAGGTAGCAGCTACAAGTGTGCGTGCCCGGAAACGGAAATAAAATAATTCCGGTGCCACTCGACTGGTGGCAGTTGCAATATCAACAGGAAGTCCCTCTCCTCCCTGCCATTTTTATCCCGGTATTTGTATCTCTGTATATTTGTGTCTGTCTCTCTGCCTGCTTGTGTGAGTGTTTGTTGGTTTGCTTCTGTGTTTGGCGTTTTGGGTGCGAAGGTTTTTACTGTTTATGCAAATGCTTTGGCCCCACGACTGCTTTAACCGAAAACACTTTAACCACATTCACCTTGGGCTTGCTTGGGCGGCTGCTTGTTAGTAGCCATTGAAAGCAGAACAGACAGCACGCACCCCCCGTCCTCTTTCCCTTATCCCTGATCCAGTCTCTGTTCTTTTGGCCCTGGTCCCGGCCCCAGCCCACTCCCTACTCTGCGTCTATTCTGCTGCCCAAAAGGCCGTAAAATGCCTGCAAGTTACGATGCCAAGGTGCCCCTTGGCTGCTGTTGCCGAAAAATGTTTCATTGCTGCGAATAGGATGTAGTGGAGGTACGAGTAGTAGCTACAGTAGTACGGAACCCTCTGTTCCAGACACCTCTGCCATACCTCCTCTGCCTCCTCTGCTCGACCCCATCTCGCACTGTTCATGGCTGCATGGGTTTCTATTATGTAGCATATCGTAATCTCACTTGAGTCAAAAGTTTGGCTGCAGACACAGACACCCAACCGAAAAAGCGACAGCACACAAGCCCCGAGAAGCAAACAGGAGAGAACAACCCGCAGCTAACACTTTGTAAATAGTCATCGGCGTGTTTATTACTGAGCCGTGCTGCTGGAGTGTTCTGCCGTAGTGTCTGCCCCATCCTGTCGGTGCTCCTCTGCGTGCTGCTGCTTCCCGTACTCCTGTGGTTGGTTGTTAGTGTTGCCAAGTAATCGTTGTTGCAAAAGATTTTCCACTCGTGCGAGTGTACGGGTATGAGAGTGCCTGACTTTTCCCCTTAATGAAAGTACAGTTTAAACTTTGCATATTCCGGCAGCAGAAGGAAATCAGCATACTTTAGATAAGGATTAAGTAAACTATTCAGGTATCAAAATTTAACACAAATATAGCAACAACAACAAGGTTTAATTTCAACAGTTTTCTGATCTTAAGCTACTTTATTCTTGCCAACTCTAAGCTAAATCTAAATCAAATAAAAGTGTGGCAAAAATGTATTCAATGATTTCTCTGATATTAAATTACAACAATTAAAATTTAATTTTCAACCGTTTATTCAAAACATATTTCATTTAAATTTAAACTACCATAAATTAGCTAACAAATTTAATTGCAACATTTTAATTTCGAGCTCTCATTTTAAAATGATAAAATTTTATTTTTCATTTTAAATGTCATTCAAAATAATTTAATTTTATAATATTTCATATTTAGTTGGTACATTTCTATTGCGATTTCAAATTGTTCGTTCGTCTATGAGTCAAGAGCATTTGAATTGCTTTTTATCACTCCAGCACTCGGCCAGCAATTGGTAACAGCTACTTATGGCCACTAACTGCACTAGTTCCGGGGCTTGTTTTGGGGTCTGGTATGCCTGTGTGCCGCGTGGCTGGTGCCCAACAGAAGCAGGAGAAACAACAGAAACAACAATGGACACGGAGCCACCAACTGGCGGGAAACAAACATTTGCCCTCTCACGAAATTTATCGTTTGCATAAATTTGCTTTATTGCCTGGCTCCTACTCCATGTTGTGTATGGCTGCGTCTGTGTGTGTGTGTGTGTGTGTGTGTATCTGGATGCGTGTGGTTGTAGGACCAAACGGAAGTGTAACTTTCGCTGCCGGGCCAGACAAGGCCAGTGGAGGCCACACCAACCAGAAACAACAAGAAACAACAACAACAACAATGAGTCAAATGTGGTGAACAAAGTTTTCCATTATTCAATTTAACTAATGAAACTGAAAATTCATTTTACCACATTAACACACACAAACACACACACATGCATAGAATGAGAAAAAGGGAAAGAGGGGCAGGACGGAGCAGGACACTAAGGGACTGGCAGGAAATGTGACTCGCCTCCAGTCAGGACATGTGTGCGTGCCGGTCTCCGGTTATGCCTTTCCTGGGGGTGTTTTGATTTTTGTCAGATGTTTGGAGAGAGTGGAAGGAAGTCTACGATTTTTACCCATATATATGTATGGATCATTTGTCCTAGGACTACGATTACAGTTTGTATTAAATATAAATCCTACGTCAGCTAATAGGAATCACTGTTGGACTACTACATCTACTACATCTAGGGATATGTCCCTACCAAAACTCAAGAATCTGTACGAGCCTTGCTTCGTTTTCTCAAAATAGTCTTTATTGCTGTATTTGTATTTGCTTGGCCATAAAACGCGAAAATTTATATTTATAGAGCTCAACATGGACGGCCAGAACGACCAAAAGGCGCCGCGCCACCCTATTGTGTTGGCATCTAAATAATTAAGTCTATTTTTAGGCTCTACACTCGGATGTCCATTTGGGAATCGGATTCGGTAAATGGCATGCCAGAAAAACTGTAGAGATTCCTAAATTGCTAGAATGACGATCTTACAAAGACCAGACCCATTGGTGGGTAAAGAACTACACCAGAAGGATACATATCAATTTTATTGGCAGGATTAATTATAGTTTCAGCTATAGATAATTTAGCTTGAATTTAGTATAGATGGAAAATTGTTGTTATTTTTTTTTCTGGCTTAATCATCTTCGCACTCGCTAGATTCCTCCTCCAGGGTGTCTTCCTCCGATTCATCCGACTCATTTGCGTCGTCTTCGGCAATGGTGTTGCTGGTGCCGCTGTCTGGGCTCGTCATCATCATCCTCGTCCTCATTCTTATCGCTGTCGTTGCCTTCATAGGAGAGGGTACCCTCACATCCGACGAGCGTTTCGGTTTCTACCGAGTCATCCTGCTGATCCACGTGATCGCCGTTTCCCTTGTCCTGCCGCAATGATACTGGAGGTGCACCGATGATCTTCAGAGTCTGTTCGGGGAGCTTAGAAGACACTCGGATTGGTGCCTTGACTATGGCCCCCGATTTTGGGGTAGCCTCTTGCCCAGCCGTGTGGCGACCACGATATGGCACGGTATCGCGGACAGGGGGCGGACTTCCGCCCGATCGGGGCATCAGCAGAGGATTAAGACTCGGTTCGATGGTTCGCTCGTAGTCGGTGAAATTGAACAGCGGCGGCAGGCTGCGGCCATTTGGCAGCAGCTGGTACGGGTCCTGGCGCAGTTCGTCGAAGAAGGGATGGGCACAGGCCATCATCGGCGTGGAACGGGCATTGGGCGTGTAGATGAGCAGCTTCGACACCAAATCGATGGCCTCGGCCGGCGTGCGAATGCGGAAGACCTTCGACCAGGGATGGGGCTTCAGCTGCGGCAGCTTGAACTGCTTGTAGTGGGGATTCATGTCGTGCAGCTGCTCAGTCGTCGGGGTGCCCATCACCTTGACGATCTCCACGATCTGGTCCACGCCCGAGTCGCCCGGGAAGATCAGCTGTCCGAGCAGCAGCTCAGCCAGAACACAGCCAGCACTCCAGACGTCGATCTTGGTGGTGTAGTCGGTGGCCCCAAAGATCAGCTCCGGTGCGCGGTAGTATCGTGAGCAGATATACGAGACATTCGGCTCTCCAGACACCAGCTGCTTGGCACTGCCAAAGTCGCAGAGCTTGAGGATGGCCGTCTCCGTGTCCAGCAGCATGTTCTGCGGCTTGATGTCGCGATGACAGAAGCCGATGCTGTGCAGGTAGGCCATGCTCCGGAGCAGCTGGTACATGTAGAGCCGGACGTAGTTCACGGGCAGCGTCTGCTTGGCCCTGGCGTACTGACGCTCCACCTTGTACAGGGTCTCGGGTATGAACTCCATCACCAGATTGAGGTACACCTCGTCCCGCTTCTCGCCGCTTGAGTAAAAGAAAAACTTAAGACTCACGATGTTGTCGTGTCGCAGCTTTCGCATGATCTGGAGTTCGCGATTCTTGAAGCGGCGATCCTGCAGGACTTTCTTGATGGCCACCAGCTCATTGCTGGGCACCATCTTGGCCTGGAAGACCACCCCGAAGCTGCCGTTGCCAATCACCTTTGTGTCCGTGTAGCTAATCTCGCTCATCGTCTCTGGTCCAAAGCCATTGGTGGCCACTACTGTGATCACCTTATTGCTGAAACCGCTGCTCTTGGGAACCGACATGCCTGGATAATTTGTAGCTCTTTGTGTGCTCAATATATACGAATTTTATTCTTTTTTACAAAAATATACTCTACGTCTGGCTGAGCACTGAAAATTGTGTGAATCTTAAAGATGTTTCCAGCAAAAGCTTACTCGGATTTCACAATTTTGTATAGAAATTTAATGTTTAGTGTCGTTTGACATTAGTACAGTGTGACCAGACATATAAAACTGTGACAATCTACTGTTGCAAGTGTGCAAAAAGTGTTGCAAGTTGATCGAAAATTTGTTTTTAACTTGCTTGCAGTCCCAGAACGAGGATATTTATTTAGGGAAGTAAAAAGCTTTATTATCTATAAAACGCAATAAAGCAACTAAAATGTATAGTCAAAAAATTAAAATATAAAATGTTGCAACCGGTAATTGCTTTCACGCAGTAAAAAAACAAATCTGTAGTAAATCAACTTTTGATTAGATTACGATTTGGTCCCTTTGTGCAGTGGTAAAACCGCGAAAAGCTAGCCCATTAAATTTGAACAAAATTTAAGAAAATATAGACACAAATAATATATTTATCGGAAAGCTATTCTGCCCCATAAAACGAGTCACAAAGATTTAGCCCAGGCACTTACCACGCCATTCGAATGCATTCGTAGGAATCAACTTGAACTCTAACTTATAGTTAGAGATGAGATGATGGCTCAACTGCTTGAAATTGCTTTTACCCCTCTTGTGTTTGTGCGCTGGCATTATCGTGTCAGTTCCTTTGACTATCTTGGGGCCTCTTGAGCAGAGCCATTCATAATTCGTGAGGAGGATTCCTTTGTGCTGTGTAAGTTTGCTAATTTCTCCAGGCTCGTGCATTGTTGTCCGAGCGGGAGAGTCGGGACCACGGACCAGGGACTCGGGACATTCGACTTGAAAGTTGTGCTGTCGCCTTTGTCTTCTCGCATCTTGGCTGCTTATCGCTGGGATTTCTTGACTTGGCTTATTCTCTGGTCGGCCACTTGCTTATCAGAGTTGGCTATTGTTACGCTTTTTTTTTTTTGTTACTGTTTCGTTACAGTTGAAGTGGCCCTGAGGGTGGCATAACCCCTGGTCGCTTGCCCCCATGTTGAAATTTGCGTAGAATCGAAATGAATAAAAATGTGCTTTGCTTTTTGAATTTTTTTTGTATAAAATGTCGCTTGCTGTTTATTTCTTTATTTATTTTGTATATATTAGATATATATATAAAAAAGTGACACACTCATGGTAAAATCTTGTTAGAGACATTTAATCGTATTTATGATTTACGTTTACACCAATATGAAATAGATATTTGTGTATAAGTGTTTAATCGATAATATTTCATATGCATTCCATATTCGTAACTCTAATCCGATCGACCACCACACAAAAAGTTGCATATTCTCTACTTTTATTATATTTTTCATTTGATTTCTGTTTGATTGATGTTCTGTTCTGAGGGACAGCAGAGAGGTTAGGTGAGGACAGTGGTTAGGTTATTGCTAAATGGTCATTGAGTTTGTTTGATATTTACACGGAGAGTGCACGACAGACGGACAGATAGAGCAGACATTCACAGAAAAGTTGAGCACTTAAATTAGCTGCCAAATGATTAAACTAAACTAAAGTGGGCTTAAAGTATACATATATAGTCGTACATATATGGTCAAAAGTCCTTCGCACTTTCGTTACGCTTACACAAATATTATTGAAATTGTTGGACGTTGTTGGCATAAGTAAGTAAGTAGTTTCGGGGGCAATAGCCACATAACCATACATATACATATACATAGATCTACAACTAAAGTATCTTTTTCGTGTTGCATAGTATTAGAATATTTTATTATTTAAATTACATACATATGTAGGCTATTACATTTATTTGGCTTCGCTTCTCTTTCTGCTGCTGCTGCTCCCCTCTTCAAATGCAGTAAAATTAAATTTTACATAATTCTGTGTGTGTGTGTGTGTATGTGTGTGCTCTTGTGAAAGAGGCATTATTTAAATGCGTATCAAATTGGTTCTTAGTAGTTAATAAAAACGTATATTTAATTTACTTGCAGGAGCACACACACACACACACACACTAGCGCAGATACACACAACACCCACGCACACACAGATACAAGAAGAACAATAAAATTTTATATTTATCGCTAACGATTTCCGGGCAAAGTCGCTTTCCATGTATCTGTAGCTCTCACACACTTCTCTCTGCAGAGAGAGATAGGCATGCCTATCTTCGTGCATGTGTTTGTTGTGTGTGTGTGTGCCTGGCAAGCATAAATATATTTGTGCTGCCTACTGTATTTGGGGGCTGGCCCCTAAGATTCCTGAGGCCTTCGTTCTTCGCCTGTGTTGTCTGGCTTGTGCGCATATTTTAATAAATTTTATGCCGCTGAAATGTGCCCCGCTTATCATTAACGCACAATTTATTTTTGCTTTTATGCCAGACTACTCCCTCCCAGTCCCCGTCCCCAGCCAGTCCAGCCCCCCCTTTTGCAGTTGTTTATCTGTGAGATACATTTGCTTTTTTGGCTTTTTGATTATTCGCATCTTAAGCTAACTTTGTTTTTCGTTTCTCTTTATTTTCCATTGAATATTTCCTGTTCCTTTTGGGTTTTAGAGTGTTTCCTGGCTTAGCTGATTAACTTTTTATTCTTTTTCTTTTTTTGTAAATTTGTAAAACTTATGTACACATACACACACAGGGATATACATTCATATATATATAGATATAGAACTACATTATCTATTTACATGTTGGCATAATGTGCATTTAATTTGCAAACGACAAGAGTCTCTGCCCAACTTTTGGCCCCAACTTTTGCCCCGGCGGCTTTTAAATGTTGTTTATTGTTGCCTGTCGGTTGTTGCCTGCTGGTTGCCGCTGCCTCTTCTGGTGGTGGTGCCCCCTGTAGTTGCTGCTTCCTCTCCTTCTGGTGGCATTCTCCATAGCATACTTATGTGCAGGAGCCCGCATGTAGTTTCCATTTAACTTTCCACTTACATGTTGTGCGTGTTGTGGATGTAGTTTATTCTTTCCTAGAGCCATGCCTGCTGCTCCTGCTCATAGAGTTGTTGTTGTTGATGCTGCTGCTGTTGCTGCTGCTTTTCCTGTTGCTGCAACCAAAGTTTGCAGAATGCTGTGGGCGGTGGATTCGAGGAGCTGCTGCCACCGGGTCCTACTGCCAGTGCAGGATCGTTGTTGTGGGCGGCGGCGGGCTTTGGCTATTGCAAATTAAATTTAGCTAATTCTCACAATTCTGTGCTCATTTCGCTTACAATTGCGCTCTGTTTTTTGAGGTGGTTGCAGTTGCAGTTGCACGTTAGCGGTTGCATGAAACAAAATGGAGAAAAGAGAAGCGTAAGCGGAAGAGAAGGAAGAGAAAATATTTGCACATTTTAGTAAAAGTTTTCTTGTTGGTTCGATTTTCACATAAATGTACATACATATGTATGTATGTATGGTATGTAAGTTTTGCACGAGTGCACGAGTCAGTGAGTGAGTGAGTGAGTGAGTGAGTGTAGTTGGTTATGCCAGTGAATGTAAGTGTGAGTACATGGGTGTTTTTGTGTGAGTCAGGTTGGTTAGTGGGCTCTACAGTGCGTATACTTTATGTGTGACACAATTGTGGTGCTATAATTTATAACAGAAAAATATACTTTAAAAGCAGGCCGCCGTTACGGCCATACTAAATCCAGCTTTAGCGCCTTGGCTGCCCTCCAAATTGAATACTTTTTATCATTTTAGTCGGCGCCACACAACAAATAATTACTTAATTTAATCATAAACCAAAAGAAAAACCGAATAAACAGCGAAAAAAAAGTCACTCCACACATAATGCTCGACGGAGGGCGGAGTGGAGGGGGAGTTGGCCCTACGATGTTGAGTTTTTATATAGCCATTCATAAGCTTATCTCCTCCGCCCACGGAGCAGAAATGTGCGTCAAATTTACGATTGCCACTGGCACTTTTCACATTTTCAGCACTTTTCTTTCCTTTCCCTCGTTTTTCTCTATTTTGTTGCTGCTGCTGTTGCTGTTGCTGTTGTTGTTGTTGCTGTGACAAAAATGCGTAAAGTTTTGTGCTCCGTCCTTTTGTTGGTTGCCCCTTTTCGCCGGTTGCGTGTGGCCTAGCTACAAGTCGCGGTGGGGCCCAAAATGGTCGAGTCGCTGTGAATCTAGGGGGTCGAATCGCTAGGCACTTGGTTGACAGAGGGGGGCCACAGGGAAATAAGAATTGTCGTTGTTGTAGCAAGGTCGAATGCGCCGACCCTTTGTGGCGTGTCATACTCTTTTCAAGAGCGAGCAAGAGTAGTTTCTGGTGAAAGTAAGAAACGAATACTGAGAAAAAGCAAAAGAAGGGTGCAAAATCACAATGATCATTCTCCTATGTACAGTAGAGAAAATAACGTTTCTTTTCAATTTTATGTTTCGAATTAAACATTTAAGTGCTTGGAGTTTCGTCCCTTGATTCCTTTTCTGAGCATTTTCTAGAAAGTGTAACCAAAATTTCACCTATGACCTAACCAAAGAACAACATTCCCTTTCAACTGTTGGTATATTTTGTCCTCCAGTCGCCTCCACAACTTTTGTTTATTTGGCTCCAAAGTATTTCTATGATATGAAATGTTTGCCTTTTCTGTCGCTGGCTTGTTGTTGCGACACCATTGCGCTTTTTTTTTTGTGCTTTCATCGCTTATTTTGTTGTATTTTTTTGGGTGGGTTATTTTTGTTTTGTGGCCTGTTGTTTTGTTGAAATTTGTATTTATGCCTGCATGTGAGTGGATGGAGGCACAGAGACATGGGGTCCTAGCCATCGAGCCGGCAGAAATATCATTTTTCCGGCTCGCTCTAGCCCGGGATCGTATATTTTAATGTTTGTGAGGGTCTGTATGTGGGAGAGCGTGTGTGAGAGTGTTTTGTGTCCTATCATATTTTCATATACATGTACACATTTATGTGTGTGTGTGTGGGGTCTTTGTCTTGCTGGTGTCCTGAAAATTATGTATATTTTCAGCACTTTCGCTTGTTTTGTTTCTCGCTTATCGAGTTTGAAGGTCATTTACTTGCAATTCCCATTTCAAAGAAATGTCCGTGGTGTGTGTCTGTGTGTGTGTGTGTATTCCCCAAGCATACGTATATGAATGTTGGTTTGTCTGCTCGCCTGGCTGGGCATTTAATTTGTTGTGAAATTGTCATTTTGTTGCTTCACTGGCTGCGTGCAATGCGGCGTATGGGTAATATTTCTGACTGAACGACAATATATAGCCTACTTTTTCGGGGAGTGCCTTAATGAGGCGCACAGACCACACACACACACACACACACACACACACACAGAGGAATGATTATTTTGGGGGATGAAATGGCATCCAAGGGTCGAGGCCAAATTTAAATTGACATGTTTAAAGTCAATTTGCCCCAAAGTTTGGCTCGTAAACAACATGGCAGAATCTGCCTACCATTCACATCCCCCATCCACTCCAATGACATTAACCTATTCATTTGTAAATAGGCTGTCGAATTTCCTAGTACCATTCGCCCTGTCTCTTCCAGCTTACATAAATATTTGTGCGTTCCCAGTGTCTTTCGAAGCGTAAAAACGTCGAGGCAGTTGATGCAAAAACCAAGGCAAGGACTTTGGACTCTGCAGACTCTGGATGTACAGACTCCCGAGATGGAGGCAAACAACGATACCAACGGCGTACGCATCGCAGTCAAATCAAATGTAAATCCAAAATGAAAGCAAGAACCGAGTGAAATTGAAATGAAAATGAATGTTTGCCTGAGAGAGGCTTTTCCCATTGTTGTTTCCCTCCCACGATTGTTATCGTTGTTGCCTGCCACCCACGCCAACGCCAACGCCTAGCCCCAACCCCACTTGGGGTTGTCGCCTGGAGGCAATTGAAAATTGGCAGCTGACAATGCGAGGGGAAGCGAGTGCAAAAGGCCAAAAACTGTTTGGGGAGATCCCACAGAGACTCCGATTGCAGAGCTCCGTAGGCCTAACGGGCACATTAATACATAATTTATAATGTTTTCGTTCCGTTTTGTTTTTCGTACACTTAAAGGAGATGTCTTCTGTGTCGTTGATGGGGATTTTATTTTAAATTTTGAACGGATATTCAATAAAGGTTAAATGCGTAAGAAAGGATGTTGGATGGAAATGGAAATTAAATAATAAGCAATTTCATCTTCAGCATTCACGGGGCTCAGCATTCAATTCAAGTGGATTGGTCATCAGACTCATCTGGAGATTATTTAATAGTAAATGAATGAGGGTTATGCATACGAAAGGATTTTAGGAAAGGCTTCTCTCTTTGGGCATAGCTTAGGAGTAAAAATCTTAATCATGTTTAGTTTCGGAATAGATTTCAGTGTGAGGATGTGTTCAGCATGAAAGGAAATTGAAATAATAAGCAATCTCTTCTTCAACATTCCCAGGGTTCAGTTCAAGCAAACATTTCAAAGCTTCAACTTTAACTTAATCGGGGATACACAATGTCCTTTATAGGTTTGATTTAAGCCGACTGAAACGGGGAAGGGAAAGGACTTAGCAGAATGCAATTTCCAACTAAAGGGTAGTTACGCTCATTGTTTTTCGTTGTTGCATGCAGGTCAAATAAGTATCTGAGTAACTTGTCATGTTAGCTACAAAAAGAAAATGGAAACAGAAACAGAAACAAAAACAGAACAGAACAGAAATAAGTAGAACGAGTAGCATTGTTGCCACACATATCAAGCGGCGGATACAATCGAAACCGAAAAACAAACTGAAAATAAAAACTTACCGTCGACTACTTTGGATAATTGGCGATAGGATTATCTCTAAGCTGGAGGAAATGTTTTGATTTTGTTGTAAATTCGAGTGCAAGTTCGTAGGAGTTGTTGTCGATGATGCTGCTGCTGTTGTTGCTGCTGCTGCCACTGCTGTTGTTGTTGTTGTTGAGGTGCTTGGGGCAGCTACGTTGGACGGGGGGTCGCTAGTTGGAGCATTCGCATTCGCAATGGAATTGATACTGGTACTGATATTGGTAGTGGGATTGGTATTGCTACTGGACTTGACATTCGTATTTGTATTTGTATTTGCATTCAATGTGGGACAATTTAACGTTTGGTTTGCTGTGGTAATTGGCCCTAGCTGCTGCTGCTGTTGCTGCTGCTGTTGACCACTGTAGACATTCGCATTGCAATTATCGAAATTAATATTGGCTGCCGCTGTTCCTGCCACTGCTGTGTGGCACTGCCGCCCATTGTTGTTGATGGCGTTGTTGTTGCACGTATTGTTATTGGTGCTATTGTGGCTGCCGGTTGGTGACATCAAAGGTGCATCTGCATCAAACATATCCTCAGCCTCGGCTGCCTCATCATCATAAATGTCGTCTGTGTCTTCGGTCTCATCATTGGTGGTCTGTGCTGCATCCTGTTGCATGGCTTCCAGCACCATCATTGCCTCATCTTCCTCACTGCAGGAATGCGACGACGAGTGCGTCCGTATCTAATTCGATTTCGGGGTTGTTGGTCGAGTGGGGGGGGATTCGTGACGGTTTCGAATTCGGGGGTAGTTCGGTGTGGGGGATGTTGAAAATACAAACAAGGTTTAGCTTTCTTGCAGGACTGGGGTGGCTCTAATCAGGCTCTATTGACCAGTATTTTTAGCACAATTTTGCATGCACTTACTCGACTATAGTTTATCACAATATGTATAACGATATCAGGCCACAACTTACGACTAATATAATGATTATGGATATAGGCAGACATAGACATTGGTGATTAGAGACTCGGAGACATGCATGACATGCTTCATTAAACGACTATGTAAATCATATTTAATACGAATATCTATTGACAAAATCAACAAAAATTTTATGCTATTTTGGATTTAAATTAAATTAGAAGAACATTTCCCCCTCTTTCTAACTCATTTTCTGCTTATAAATTTATCATGAGCGCCGCGGGCGTAACCTGTCCCGATACACAATTTTAATTACACTCAATGCAAAGCAGCGGAAAATATTCGAATAACAACGGGAGCAACAATGCCGGATGCCAATGCTAATGGTAATGGCAACAAAAGTCCGCCTGATTGCACTCTCTATGGAGAGGCCAGTGGTGGCATGTTGGTGGTCGGTGGCCGGCGGCCAAACAGCTGAACAACCGCATCAGACCACGCACACAGGTGGTACATAGACAGCTATGGATGTATGTATGTTGGGTTGGTCTTGCTCCCCCTAACCCATTCGACATTCGCCATTCGCCATATGCCACACGCCCTGCGGTTTGCTCTTGATTGCACGGCGAATAGCATAGAGCATAGAGCGATTGCTTTGTTGTAATACCAATTGTAGCTGTAGCTGCAGATGTATATGTGGCAGGGGTTAGTTACCGCACATCTGGTGGGGACTGGACGGCACTTTAAGTTTCCTACAACAAATATCTAGTTGAACAAAAACCGAGTTTATTCAGACCGAGAGATCTTCTAAAGCATTCATTATTATAGTTTTTCTATCGGATATGTACCAACCTTATTTAAAAATGTATATAATTTAAGGCTCCCTTTCAGCTCCCAGATTACAGCCGTGAATATTTAAATAAACATTTATTTGGCTTTATATGCACTATGTTTCAGTTTGTATTTATTTTACTACAAATATTACCCCAATTGGTTCTGCTTTTTCGGGCTTAAATTGGCTCTAATTTACTCTTACAAAATTTGAAAATAGTTAGTTAGTCAACCTGAGCAAAGGAAATTACTGAAATAAAGCTTCTACTAATTTCCATTTATGAAATGTATTAAGCCATTCATCCGGCAGACATGTGTGGCAACTAATCGCATTGAATCTCACTTCCTCTGGCGTTTCTGCCTCAGACTCAATACACTTAAAAGCTCATTCACTTCCGCTCAAGACACGTTCTGCTTTAGCACATTTGATGCCTTTATGATTCCAAGTTCTTTGGCAAAAATCACACAGATACAAACACACACACACAGACACAGACAAACACACTAAGGCACATACACAAAAAGGAAGATAAACAGGCGGGAAAAAGGCTCCAGGTAGTGAGAGATCGACATATTCATTTGTAAATGAAATCAGAAAGGTGCACAAACACACTCAGAGACCCTCAAAGAGAGCCCCTAGGACTCTATGGGAATGGATACGGGATATGGTATAGGGTTTTGGTTCGGGCTTGTGTCTTCCCTGCACTCACTTAAGCTTAAGGCCTTTGTGTTGCTTCTGGCTTATGCTTTTTGTTGCCAACTACAAGTTTGTTGCACACACAACTTATGTATACAATATATATACATATTTTGTGTATAGAATTGGATTTATGCGTCCATGTGTGTGTGCGGATGGATGAGCATGAGGAAGGTTCAGAACTTTGTTTGATTTTCTATTAATTAAAATTGCATTCAACTTGAAAATCGTATTTGTTGCCTCACAGGAAACACACCACACAGACAGACAGAGAGGCAGTCAGAGAACAGGGAACAGAGAAACTTATCTATTATGCCTCATGCCAGGGCCACGGCCAGGGCTAGGGTGGGCGCTGTGGCACGCCCATTTCCATTCAATAATGAACTTTGAATTGTAGCCTAATGGAAACACGTACAAGATTGCTTAAACAAACTTGAAGAGAAGCATTGGCCAAGGCCCAAACCAAAGGAATTTAATTAATTTTCTTCGCCCCCGTTTATGGGTGTGTATGTCGATGGGGCTTTCAGAATGGGGCATATGTGTGTATGCGTGTGTTCGTGTGTTAATTGGGCTCAGTCCTATGTTAAACACGCCCTTGGCATGCCAGCCACACAGACATACACACACGAGTATAGACACGCTAATGCATCAAATTGTGTGGCATAAATGTTGGCGAGTGTCAAACGCCCCCTTCATTAACACGCGGCTAACAGGGAGGACACGAGGACAAGGCTGCTCAGTTTATGGCATCCAATGTCAGGGCTCGTCCGACCTCGTCTAGCAACTGTCACCATCAAAGATAATTATTACCTACCAACCTTTGTCCCATCTGCTTAGTTCTCTTGTTTTTTCTAGTGCACCCCCATGGGCTTCAATCCTTTTTCCCAGCTATGCATAAAACATTTAAAATATTTGCGCTTAAAAAAAAAATGTGAAAAATGCACACATTGAATGTGAATGCGATGACATATGCCGCCCGCAGGCGAAAAGACAAAAGAGCGCTTAGAGCCAGAAAAAATACTGAATACTGACGACTGTTCTCTCTCCAATTCCCCTTTTCAATCCGTCTACATCCTGCATAATTAAATCATCGCCGGATTCCGGGAAAATAAAAATATTATTTGTTCAAAGTTTTACCTTTTGTTCAACTTTTTCTATATATTCCGCACTATTTGTCAGGGTAAAAATGGGTTTTTCTGCCAATAAATCAATTGGCAATCACAAATATTTTTTTATAATTATTTGTTGTGAGCACGTTTTTTTTTGCCTTGCAGCTGTGTGAAAAGCCAGTTCGTTATTGTTTTAATGTTACATTGTTGTCTAATGGTTTAATATTTAATGGATTTCTGGTCCATTGGCCATCCGTCAAAGCAAAGGTTGTAATAATGTTATTGAAACGGAATATACATATATATGTACATGCATATGTATGTACCTGCCATTTGGCTATTGTATTTAAATACATTTTTAAGCTTTAAACTACAGTCTTTTCTATTTCTTTTGTGAAGAAATATTTGATGGAGTTCGCTTCACATGAGCAGCTCTCAAATTTGTTTAATTGATGAAATGAGTAAATTTATTCGGCATTGGTCCTACGAACCGCACCTCTGGCTTTTCAATTGCCCCTCCCATCTTTAACATCTTCTCCTGGTAAGCAATTTACCGACCAAATCGCTTCAGGCCAAAGCTTTCTCTAACTTTGTTGCTTTTATTGTTTGCCAATTGTGTTAATCTAGCATTTGTAAGTATTTGGCTCACTCCGCATGAATGTGCGTGTGGTGGGGCCCTCAGGCGGCAGGAACAACAACAGGACCAAGAACATGGCTCAGAACAATGGATATAACAACAACTGCAGGCGTTTTACACAGGACAAAACCCTCATTGGAGATCCTTCCTGCCATCCTGGCATTTTGCTCTCCAAAAGTGCTGTAACCCTTGAAACAACAGCAGAGCAAATGGCAGAGACAACAACAATCGAAACTTTTGCCACATTAAATCAGTAAATTTATTGACTTAACTGCTTTTCGGGGGAAGGCGAGGACATGCCACCATATCCGACCATCATACCACGCCCTCAACCCGAAGGCACCCACAGCCCACATTCTCCCACTGACTGAGGGACATCGTTTGAGGGTTGTCAGCAGTGGCGTTTGTCTCTTGGCCGCTGGCTGCGCACTTTGCCACTGTGGCCCAAGATGGTGTCCATGTGTCCTGCGTCCTGTAACCTCCTATCTTCGTGTCCCCGTGTCCCGGTGTCCCCGTGTCCTTGCGCTCATGTTTGGCCTGTTCCTTGCCCCTTGCTGTGCTGTCATAATTTTTGATTTGCTTGTTTTATTTGATGTCCTTGCTGATGTCGTTGCTTTTGCCAGGCGTTGCCAGGCGGGTTTCAGCTCCAGTTCTGGGTCTCCTCTTCACTAAGCTGCTTCCCAGCTTACGAAAAACAATTTTGCAAAATTTATTTTATAGCAAAATTATGCCAAACATTTCGAAAATGTTTCTATGTACTCGGGTTACTGTTGGCTCTTGGCTGTTTTTGTTGCTATTCTGGCCATTTGTGACACACGCACACACACATCTATGTACATATGGGTATATCCTCTTACGCACACACACACACACACGCACACTTATTCGCATATATATGAGAGTGGGTCGTGAGATCCAAGGAGCTGCTGCCTCTGGTGGAAGCTGGCACAGAATTTATTTTAGAATTGTAAGTATTTTTGCTCTGGTAGCTACAAAATTTGTGCCATCAGCTTTAGTTGAAATTATTTGCCCAAAAGTTCCCCCACCCCGCACCTACAGAAGAGAAAATCTTGTCTGTTATAAAAACTTGGATAATGTAGCGCAAATAGTTGCTTATTATTTATTCCCTTTTATTGCCATGCCTTCCATCTTGAAGTCCCTTACCCTCCTCCTCATTGCTACTGTTTCAGCCTTTTGTCTTGACTCTCTCTCTCCCTCTCTCTGTCTTACTCGTGACTCTGTGGGGTCTTTATGGGTCTTTTACTTTTGGGTAATTTATTTGTGCGCTAAACAAAAATTAGTTGGAATATTTCAGTTGTTAATTAGGCATGCGTGAAATTGGGCAAAGTTCTAGCCATAGCATACTTTTGAGTTGAGCAAAGTTTTGGCTCAATGATCTGATTGGGGGCATGTTTATAGCTGGATTCCTTAAAGTTTGTCCAAAACTATTCTATTGGCATTCGTGTGCCGCCTAGTCAAAGGTTCCGACACACAGAAAAAGACTCCCTGGAGTGCGGAGTATCTTTCTCACGCCTTAAATTTAAGTTAATTAAATTTCAGTCTATCCCGCAATTCAGATAGGAGCAAACGAATGCGGAGTGCGAGTGTGAGTTTATATCCAGACATGGACTCGCTTTTTGATAACACACACACACATACAAAGAGAGAGCGTTGGGTTAGAGGGCACTCATGAGGGAGTGTATAAGAGATAAGTGCGCTTGTGGAATGGGGACACAGACACAGAGAGGGGCTCCCAGCCGGATCTCACTCCAAATGTTTACAATGAGTCTTACAAAATAATCAACATAAAAGCTTCAGTTACTTATTACGCTTACACAAAGCCATATACTCGTACGAGCTTCGTTATAGAAATACAAACCCAAAAAAATACAAACAAAAATATAAAAATCACAGAAAATACAATTTTGTGCTAGAAAATTAAGTATACGTCATGCAGTCAAGAGGCGACTCTTACAACTAACTTTATACGTAGTTATATACGAGCATATGTACTTATGTTTAGAGATACTTATAGTAGGTACTATGCACGCTTCAAGTGAAGTAAAGTGCTCTGCTCGAATGCGATAATGCCAATAAAGTACGGGATTCAATTAAAGGGAGACGCGGCAAAACACAAACTTCAACTCGAAAGTAAGGAAATACTTAAAAAGTTGGATGCAACTTAGCGAACAACAGAACATGCAACAAAGGGAAAAAAAGAACACAAGTTGTTGGGACAAGACAACAATATGAGGAAGAAGAGACAACGACAACGACAAAGACAAAGACAAAAACACAAAAACAGAAAAAGACAACAACATCGAGAACGAGAACGTGAACAACATGCGACAGGTTTACGGCTTACACGCAACATGCGACGGACCTCAAATCTTACTCACAGTTTGCTGCGTGGAGGTGACATTCGATGGGGCAACATTCTGTCCATGTTGCAGATAGACTAATGGACCGCCAGCCACCGACGACGACGACGACGATGGCTGCCTCGATGCCATCGATTGCATCGACTGTATCGACTGCAACGACTGCATCGACTGCATCGACTGCATCGACTGTGGCTGCTGTACAATGGGCGGCGTTGACGTTGACGGAGCGGCTCCTTTGTCAAACTGATAGTACATGACATCGTTGGCGGGCGCCGAGCCGCCGTACAGAGGCGGTGGCGGTGGCGGCGGATCGGCTGTCTGGGAGCCAGAGATGTGATATGCGGTGGGCTGCTGCTTGGACGATGGCGATCCCCCAGGAACACCAGCCGCAACAGCAGCAGCTCCAGCGCCCGGCCCCGAACCGCCCGGCATTTGCGGCATCTTATAGTTGTAGATGTAGGGCCGCTCGTACTCCGCCCCATGGATGTAGGACAAGAAGAGATCCGACTTGGCCGGCTGCATCCCATAGCGGCCTGAAGCTGTGGCCTGGCCAGAGCGCTGACCCGGGGGACGACTATGCCCAGAACTGGTCACGCTGCTGCTTGCGTAGTGCAGTGGATAGCAGCTGGCATTGGCCAACTGGGAATGACCTCCGCCGCCGCCTCCACCTCCGCCCGTGAGCAGCTGGGTCTTGGTGATGCTCTGGCCCGAGAGACGGCGCGTTGGGACCCCAATGTCCGACTTGGCGTCGCGCCTCTTCACCTGCGCCGCGCTCGTCGAGGGCCCCTGATAGTAGTACGGGGCCGCCGGGTTGCTGGGCCACTCCACGAAGCTGCGTTGCCTGCTGAAAGCACCACCACCCCCAATAGCACCTCCGCCACCAGTTGATACCATGAGATTGCTGCTGCTGCCACCGGCGGTGGCCACGCCGGCCCCTGCCATCGATCCCGATCCCGAGCCCCTGGCCAGGGCATTGTTCAGGCTGAACTTGTACTGGTTGTTCTCAAACGTCGTGTAGTGGAGCAGGCGATTGGCGTGGCCAGCCGCCGGCGACTGCATCGGGTTAGTTGCATTTGCTTGTGGATTTGGGTTTGAGTTCGGATTGGGGTTGGGGTTGGGATTGGGAGTCGTGTGACCATGGCCCGAGGAAGAGGATGCACTGTGGACTGGCGCCAGGCTGCCTGCACCGCCGCTTGTGGGATTAGTGGTCGATGAGGAGGAGGCGTATTTGTAATTGGACTTCTGCTGCTGCTGTTGCCGCTGCTGTTGGGCGAACAGCGAGCGCTGCTGCTGCTGCTGATTACTCACAGTCTGTTGCATGAGGCTGTTGTAGCCGCCATTGGTGCCGCCTCCGGCGCTGCCGCCCGACTTTCGATGGGATCCGCTCGAGGCGCCCGATGATTTGTTGGTGCCATAGCGTGTGCTGTCACTGGATCTGCGAATGAATGGATATATGTATGAGGAAAAGAGACGCATTGGGGATAAGCATAGGTATGTATCGAACTAAAATGTCTGATATCGATAAAAAATCGAAAAAGAAAATTATTTAAATTTGCATTCCGATAATTCAGTTATATATAAAAGAGTTTATGCATTTATCGCACATAATTATCGATAAATATCGCTATAAATAAATCATTTACAATTACACTTACCTTTCTGAAGAGTAGGCATAGTCCTGATCGGCGCCCAGACCCGAATCTGTGTGCTCATGCGAGACGCGTAAAGCAGAGTTCTCCAATGGACTGAGATTCGAGCCAGTGGGTGAGATGAAGTCACCCATGCTCATGCTGGACATCATTCTATAAGGAGAGAGACACTCTTAGTCCGAATACCAAATAAAAAATTCTCTATCTAACACTTACCGAACCAGTCCATTGTTGCGTTCACATTCGCGCGATGAAATCGTGCTCGCCGATCGTATGGATCCGTTCTTGGGGGCATTGCCTCCCGCGCCGGCCCCACCGCCGTTAGCCTCGTGCGGATGCGAACTTTGGTAATAGAGCCTGAAAGGCGGCTCAACTATAAGATCCAGCCGCTATATCTGCCTGATCCTTTTCCTACTCACCCTCTGATGCGATCCACGCGAATTCTCGCCTGGCCCGCACTGGTGGAGCCACTGCCGTTGGTTATGGTGTTGCCGGAGCCCGTGCTCTTGGCGCCCACGCTGCTCTTGCTGTTGCTCTTGTGGATCTTCAGATTGGAGTTGGAACGCTTTGAGGTGGTCTCCACCACCGTGTAGGGAATCTCCCTTAGCTGCTGCTCCGACATGCCCTCGGTGTCCACCAGATCGAACTGCAGATGCTTGGCCAGCTCGCTGTTCCACATGCGACTGCGCGACTCCGAAGGAGATCTATGGAAAGAACTTAGGATTGAGCATCATCTGGAGGAAAGGGAAAGGAGTATCCCTTCACTCACTTGTTCTTGCGATGCCTCCTCGACTTGTGATGCGAGTGCGTGTCCGAGTGGCTGTCGTTGCTGTGCAGACTGCGGGCCACCATGCTGCTCTTGGACACGGCCGCCTGCTGCACGGAGCTCTGCCCAAGACTGGCCTCCGCCTGTCTTCGTTGCACCTCGCGCCACTGCGTGGTGGAGTCGATAAGCTCGGCACTTCCACTCCTCATCGAGGAGCTGCGATGTCCGGAGTAGCTGCGTCCCCGGGTGCTGTCATGATCCGAACCGCCGGCCGAGTCACGTCGATGCCTATGCGAGCGGCGATGCTTGCGGTGATGCGAGCGACCCGACCTCCCCGAGCGACCTGAGCCCCGAGAGAGTTCACTCTCATTGTCGGAGGTGCGACGATGGCGATGCTTGTGTCTGGAAATTGGTGGGGGGGATTGGTTGCTCAGAGACTTTGCCTAGAGGATCTCCGCTGGCGACTCACCTTCGTGTGGATCTGGAATCGTTCGAGGAGTGACTCTCTACAGAGCTGGACCTATAGCGCTGCTGCTGATGCGAGGCGGATGAGGAGCTGGCCCGCTGCTGGCGGTGGTGGTGCGACGACGAGGAGGACTGCTGGTGGGGATGGTGGCTGGTGCCATGGCCATGGCTGTGGTGCCCATGATGGTGATGATGATGCGCTGTGCTGGCCGATCTCACGGAGCGCGGACTCGAGGGATTGTGGCCGAAGAGGGATCTTTGCTGCGACCTGGGCCATGGGGCACTGCGCGTGCTTCGCGGCGAGTCAGGTGTCTGGAGGTTGCCACCGCTGTTGTTGTTGTAGCTGCTGGAATTGTTGTTCTGTTGCTGCTGGGCGGACTGCTGGTGGCAGGGTCGGATGCCCAGGCTGGTGGGAATGCTATACGTGGATCGGTAGGGGCTGTCATAGTTGCTAGAGGAGGAGCAGGAGCAGGATGGACAGAAGATAGTCGGATAGAAGAGATGGGGGATCAGTCTCGCATTATTTTGCCATAAATTTAAATTGTTTAACATAAACGTTGATTAAAGTCTGCGGCATTGGGGGCCATTTAGGCTGTCGGAGGAGCAGCCAACGCTATGCAGAAGAGGATCGCCTCAAGTCTTGAGCCTCGAACATCGAACTCCCATCTGCAGGTCCAACTTCAACTCCAAGTGGAACTCCAACTCCACCGCCACCGCCACATCCAAGATCGACACAGACAAATAATGCGCGTGTGTAAAATTGAGTAATTGCCGCACTGGCAATCAGCGGGCAATCATTTCGTACTCTCAGGAGTCGTCGCCATTTGACTTGGACTCGCATCCAGAACGTGCCTCTGAGACTGAGACGGAGACAGAGACGGAGACAGAGACGAAGACTGAGAATGAGACCGAGGCGTGCCTAGTGATTTATGCTCCCGCTTCGTTTTGGTCGTTTCGATCTCGCAGGAGGCAACTTGATTGGCCTGTCCCGGCTGCCTGATGTTTGGGCTTCTCTTTGTTTGCAAATGATAAATGACGTGAGCTATTTGCTCATCCCAATCCCCAATCCACAATCTCAGTTCTTCCTAGGAATTGCCTATGCTGCCTGTCCACCGATTACACAGCCAGACACACTTTGTACGGATCGGGATCGGGATTGGGATTGGGATTGGCTTCTATTACCTTATTTAGACCCTCACCTGAGCGTGTAATTTATGCATGCAGGAAGCGAAAGAGGGTGGGCAGCACAACACTTACACTGACAGCAAACACTGACAGCAGAATGAGTGGGAAACTGCTGACTAATTCTAACTGCTGTTCTAGGATCTGTGTTATGTGGGTGGTGCGTAGTGTCCTTACTATTTTTGGCCATAAATCTCATTGCATGACTCAATCTCTGTCTGTCCTTCCGCTTCACTTAATCGCTGGTTCGCAACATCCTGGCAACGGTTTCCGCTGCCCAGAAAATCGACTAATGGCTGGATTTTTATTTGTCTATATAATTTGATGTGCACAACCATAAAACATTTAATAAATGTTGCGTCTAGACAATGTAACTGCCTTCAAAATGGCAACTAAATGGATTTTGAACACGAAATTCGAAACAAAAAACCCAAAAGAGTACCCCATAGCATGGGTCAGGGCAGTTGAACGAGGACAATGCCAAGCAGTTAGCAATCCATATCCATCCCATCCCATTCTATACCCATACCATCCCATCCCATTGCGTGGTTCTGTCAAACACAAACATGAAATGGATGGTTATGGCAATGCGAATGCGAATACGAATGATGAAGTGTTCTGGCTGCATTCCTTTCAGATTGAACCGAGCGAGACAATCAAGTGAGCCGTGCCACCAAATTGCAATTGGATGCTGCCCAGACACTCTGTGCAGAGTTGTTGGCCCCCAAAAATATGTTTGAAAATTAAAAACAGATCAAAGGGAACGACTCTCGAACTCGAATGGGCCACATGAGAGCTCTTCTTCCGGCGGGAGCGGCGGGAGCAGCCTCTCAAAATTATTACTACAAAAAATAAAACTGGCGAGCACACACACACAAACACACACACAAAAAACGTATCCCAAAAAAGGGACAACTACGTCAAAGGAAGTAGCAGCAGCTGCAGCAGCAGCAGCTTCATAAATGGGTAAAAAAATACACTAAATACAAAAAAAAGGAAAGTACTAGAGAGGGAGAGAGAGAGACTAGCAGTAGAGTAGTACTTTCTCTGTGCATATGGGCGATGGGTAAATCAGAACTTTTGTGCTTGGAATGAAAACAAATGATGGACATTCGGGGGGTACTCACTTGGAGATGTTGCCCAGACCTGGCTGCGGCAGCGGCCTGTTGCCCATGTTGATGCCTCCGCCTCCGCCTCCTGCTGCTGCACTGCTGACGACTCCTCCGTTGCCAGCGACTCCGCCTAGAAGAGCTCCTCCTGCTGCTCCGTTGGTGCCACCTCCTTTGTGGCTGTTAAAAAAGTCATCAATCACGCGTCTGGGCTGGCGCTTGGAGGGCACGCGAGTAAAGGCTGGCGGGGATCGTCCGGCGGCCAGTGCATCCTTCTCCGTTTGCTTGTCCGGGCGACTTTCGGGTTGTTTCGGGGTGTTGTTCGGGGTGTTTGGCGGGGGGTTGGTTGTGGCAGACATGCGAGTGGCGAGTGTTGAGTGTTGGGCACAACATAAAAGTAGGCATAAAGGCGTCCAAAAATATTAACAACAGAAATGGGGAAAAGGCAAAGGCAAAGGCAAGCGCAAGAGGACGAATCAGAGGGCAAGACTTGCTCTAGATGGTTTCGGCTAATAATGAACAGTGAACCATAAAAAGGTTGTAAACCAGGAGCAACAAAAAATAATAAAAACGAAAAAAAAAACTTTCATTTGTTTCACAAATTAAAAACGCCAAGACCCTTGGTTTTTCCTCTGTCTCGTAAAATGAGAGCCAGAGCCAGACCCAGACCCAGAACTTTTCTTCTATTTTTTGGCTACTCTTGTGGTAGTACACTCTCTCCTGTCGGCCAAGTTAATAGTTTCGTGGCCACGTGAACTCGATTTGGGGGGTGGGCAAGAAAGTTTAGCGCAGCAACTAAATGGTCAGCCGCAGTCACCGCAAATGTCTGTCATAAACATGTAGGCAGGACAGAAGTATGGACTTGGCTCCAGTTCCAGGGCCCCCACCCTATTCGAAGCCCAATCCCCTGCCACATTCGTCATGCACAATTTGCCTTGCATTTGGTCAGCCCCTTGTGCGCTGTCCTTGTGCTGGCGTGGCTTAGAGCCGCATTTCACAGAAAGTCATTAGTGGGCTTTGCACTCGAGTTGCTTTTTGGCCGAATGCCTGCTGGCCCTTGCCCCGTGTGCTCCTTCTTGCCAGGCCTCGTAGATCCGACATTTTTATTGGACTTCCAATTAGTTGACCATCCAGCGATGGCGTAAACTTGATCTATGTATGCTGGCCAGCTCCACTCTCGTCCTCGACCGCGGCCTCCATGCTTCTGTTTGGGCAGAGATGATTTCTAATTGGAGCCGCATGAAATTTGAGGAGCCAAACACATGCGAACTTGCTTCGTTTGGAGGCAGGCTCTCTCTCTTTTTGCCGTGGCAAAGAAAAACTGAAAGTAACTTGGTAGAAACAGTCTGCCATGTGGTTATACCCTGGAGCTAGTCGCTGGAGAGGGAATGACTACTTTAGACAAAGGATTGCAGAAAAGGAATATGAGCGGGGAATTTCACAGAACTTGTTACCCTACCTCTTAGGTGGATTATGCCCCTACATCAATCGGAAAAGTCTTTCAAATTTATTTTCTATATCAAAAAATATTAATTATTTTTCGTGATTATATTTCTGTTTCATTTTGCTAAATACTCTGTGGATCATGATCATAAATGAATCTCTTTTAAGCTAAACGAAGCATCCTTCCATTACGCTAATAAGTAGAGACCCCTCCCATCTATCCCCTTGAGAGTCAGTGCCCATGTTCCATGCAGATCATCTGTACGAGCATGCAGCTGCCACGAAATCCACTTGAGCTCTGCCTCTTAATGAGCTAATCACATGAGATGCACTCGAGGCGGCAGGGGCATTCGAGTCGAGTAGAGTGCATCCATTGGGTCCACTGGGTCCATTGGAATTTGTTACGTCTTAATTGGCTGCGCTTTCGGGCTTGGCCAATAAATTAGGCAGCTTGGCATACCAACGCCAGCGTCCAGCTCGCAGCTGACATGGTTATGGTTTTTGGACTTAACAACTTTATCTAATGGCCAAGCCATGACGAGGGCGGAGCACCCATGACTGCACCCACACCCACTTGTCTGCCGAAAAATACTTCCGGCATACATATCATCCTGGTTAGTGTTCCTTCTGCCACTCGATGTGCAGGTACGGTACGGTACTCACCTGGGCCTGAAGCGCGATCCCAGTTGGAACAAGTCGGCTGCATGCGACTGGGAGCTGGGCAGCGGGGCGACGCGCACCTGCCTGAAGAACGCATGATGCTCCACGCAGCATCTCCACAAGTGTTTGCACGCCGATTTGCGGGGCGTCTCGAAGCCGTAAGTGCTGAGCTCGTTCTGTGGACGAGAAGGAGGGGATGCGGCAAATGCAGTGTGTGATAAGCGGAAAAGTCAAGTCACGACGATGGGCCATGGCAATGGAAGCAATGGGAGCGTTGTTAGCGACGATGCCGACAAAAGAGTCGAGTTGAGTTGAGTCGGTTGCCAAGTGAAGGCAGAGGCACTGGCAAAGGCAAATTGAGTGAATGAATGCCTCAGCAAAAGTTGCTTCCACTCAATGGTCCCGTCCCCTTTGCAGAACGTAAAGTGTGAATTCCCAAAAAAAAAGAAGAAGGGAGGGTCGGGGACCCGTCCAACAAAAATCAAGTCGAAAAGGAAAAACGTTAAAGTTTCGCCTTTTGTGCGCGTCAACTGGCTGCAAAAAGTTTTTTGATTATCAAAGCGTTAACACCCGAAAGTGTACAAGTTTCAGAAGCTGCCATTCGGTGTCTTCTATCTTCTATCTCTGCTACCAGAGACGCAGCTACTGCTACTTGTTGGCTAACGAGTCTTCTAGCACTTTACTCCGCTCCTGGCGCCACTTGGTGCCGCTGACAGCCAAAAAGTTGTCACCAAAAAGAAGGCAGCGGGGACACAAAGAAATTGGCGACACTGCAAAATGGCAAATAAGAAATTGAAAACAGAGCGAGATGCAATACAGAAGCTGGGATACTCTATACAGGTGTGGAAAACATGAATTAGCTTCTGCTTGAAAGCTGATTTCTACTGCGATTGAAGGTCTAGGCAGGAAGTGATTGACTGATCACTTGAGATACTTCTTTAATCTGTCCATAGGTATTTAGGGTTCCAGTAAGTGATGTAAGCTGTTAGTGATCCCAGATAAATTCTATACTTGATGTCAGACTCCCCCCCTGATCGCTGGGATAATTCCGATTCGAGTACTACCCTTTTCGTTCACTGCTTTAAGCCATTCCACTCATTGTACGAACTGCAAATTGTCTGAAGCACTTGTCGGCCAACAAATTTATGACCAAGATGGGGGATCTGCATCGTCAATTGTGGCCATTGTCGCCCCTCCCCCGGCACGTTCCCATTCCCGCCCATGGCCACCTCCATTGTCGCATTCGGGTGCGTGAAAAATTTACATTTTTATCGCTTATCCTGAGCATAAAATAGCGTCCTTTATAATAAACTTTGGCAATGCGCGGCCAATAGTAATGAGCCACCGTCGTCTTGTTGCGCAGGACGACAATGCCGCTCGGTGTGAGGCCCAGGAAGTACTCCACGCTGTCCTCGCCCTGTGGGAGTGAAAGAGAATTGAGAACTTTAGTGAGAGCGCAACTTTGGCAAACAAAAGGCAGGCAAAAAGTTTCCTTTTGGCCATTGCCAAAAAATGTGTTAACAAGAAGAAAGTTTTGCGCCCATTAGCAGCAGGCGGCATTTTTATGGATACCGAACGCCGCACACCCATCCGAAGGAATAACCAAAATAAATGTAATTTTAGCTGTTAATTAAATTAAAAAAGAAGGAAAAGCCAAAGAAGAATGGGAAGGGGATTAAGAAAGGGTGAGGGTAAGGGTAAGGGCAAGTAAAAACCAAATGAAAGACGGCTGCCTGGCGCCGCGATAGTCAATGATTTGTGTCTATAAACAAACACAAGGGCGACGAAAGAGATGAGGTGGAAGGGAGTGGGGTAGGGCACATACCGCAGCCATGTGGAGTACAAGGGTTCATGCCACATGCCGCATGCCCCCCGCCCCATACGTACACACACACACAAACACAGCTGGTGATTTATTGAGGTTTGATATCAAAGTAAAGGGCAATAAAAAATGCAAATGAAGTGCCAACTTACGCAGCACAAACTCAGGGGATCGGGAATCGGTAGTCTGGGGTTAGAGTCTCGTCTGAGACACACACCCCCCAGTCGAGGGGTTTTTTTGGGGGTAATCATTGCCCTGCCCCAACCCATGTTTGGGGTCCAGAAATGTGAGCAAATGATTTATAATATTTGCCATGAAATGAAATTAAACTTTGCATTTCCCAGCTGACCCCTTTTCCACCCCAATGGAAGGGAAGAACTCTGTCTGACACCAGCTGTGGTTTTTGGGTCATGTGCGGGGAGTAACGGGAACCGCAGCAGTGCCCCGACATCAGCCCTCGTAACTTACCAGAACGGGATGCAAATCAACGCCGTACATATCATGCCATTTGACTTTGTCCAGATAGTTCAACTCCGCGCTGGATGGAGACATGCCCTTGAGCTGTTGGTGCAGCTCGGAGACGCGCGTCTCCAGCTCATTGCTTTGGTTGGGCAGCAGCCGGAATTCGGAGACATAGCCCTTGGAGTGGCGTCGCTGATCGTAGTCCCCCAACTCGGCTGTGAATGATGGATATGCATATTGAAGATACTCGGCTGACAAATACCTTCTACTTACATTGCACCACAAAGGCACCCAGTTCGGCGGCCAATTCAAAGGCCACTGGCAGTCGTCCCTGTAGTACATCCTGTTTGACTTGCAGAAAAAGTTGGTATCTGAAATTGACAAATTTCATTAGCCAGAACATCAGAACAGAGCAGAACAGAACAGAGGATGAGGATTTACAACCTGGGAGTAACAAGTTAACAAGCTGACAAACAAATCCTTGGCCATAAAATTAGTTGATACACCCCCCTATTTCCCCCCATTCCATCGATGTTTGTCCAAGGCAAACACAACCGGAAAACTTGTTGACTTTTGGGCGTAACATCAAAATCATGTAGCAAATAAACAACAGACGGAACCAGTCACAAAAACAAGGATACAGATATGTTGCCAAAGGATATATGTACTTAATACATAGAGATAGAGATGCAGGGTGTCCTGTGTATCATATTTCACAATTATTTGCGGAGAGGCCTGAACTTCAAGTTGATGTTTGCCTTAATCCTTTTCGGTCTAGCCGGCTGCTGTCCTTGTTTGACTCTCATCGCTCTGTCAGACTATCTCTTCCCCTCCGCATTTATCTATCCCATTTCCATCTATCCATTGGAATTTACAACTTTGTCGCTGTCGAAAGTCAATTGCCGTTTATTGTATTGCCGCAGACTTTGTATAGCTAACATAACAAAATTCTTTCGGTCCGTAGTCCGTGGTGCACTTCTGCCATAATGCATTCAGTGGCAATTGCATTTGCCACACGAACTCATGAACCTATAAACCCATGAACCCTACTTTCCATACAGTTTTCCACTTGGCTACAAGTGCATTTCGATGCATTTATATGCGCTAATATTAGCGCAGCAGCAGCAGCAGCAGCAGCAGCAGGGCATAGATTTTGATGATGTTTGGCCAAGGGGTGGGCTTCATCCTCAACAATCTACTCCACTCTACTGCTGTCTCTGATGATGATTATGGCGAACGTGTCGTCGTATAAAGTGCAAATATTTGCACACACCAAATGCTTGATAAATGCAGCAATCGCCCCCAGACACCATCATCGCATCGCGCCATCGAACGATGATGAAAGCCAGGACTATGTTCGTGTCCATGTCCACCCTGTGTCCTGTCTGCCCTCTCTGTCCCTGACCCTGTGTCCATATATCCCTTGACAGTGCTAACCAGCATAAACGTTTGCGTTTGCGACATTTGGCATTTTGAACACCAATCATCCACTCCAACCAGGGCCCATCCATCTGCAACATCTGCATCCCTGCATCCCTGCCTCTCCCTTTTCAATTGACTATTGCGTTTATTTTTAATTTATTTTGCTTGATGTGTGTGTGGGTGCGTGTGTGCATAAATGCATTAATTTCATCATGTATTATCCATTAGTTGGTCTCCTGACTCTCCTTCGCTCCTTCGCTGCTTAACTGCATCTCTCGCCCATTCGCTTCATTTATTGTTTATTGCATTATAATTATGCGTCTGTTAACAAATTAAATTTACTTAAATTCAATTTGATGAATATCCCAGACCAAAAGTTGCGCCACATTAAATGGTTTTAATAATTAATTTAATTGAGGACTCAGCACCGCACACTCACCTGGTGATTTCCTCCAGGAGTTTGCACGGATCAGCAGCATAGAATTTCACACCGAAATACAAGTCGTATGGATCCGATTTGGGCTTCAGTTGACGGGAGATGCGTGAGGCAGGGTCCAGCCAGTGCTGCGGCAAATTTAAACACAGAAATGAAAGGTTAAAGACGTTAAACAGGTCATGGCCGAACCACAGGGGGCATGTGCTGCTCAGACGCGTTGTTCTTAGAAAGGACACGCACAAAACAGACAGGTGCTCGAAAGCGAAATTATATAATTTGCCCGCCCTCCAGCGATACAAGGAGGCTCAAAGAGTTTCGCCCCCGTCTGGGGCACGGGCGTTTTGTTCTCATTTCTTTAGCGCTCGTTGCGCCTGAATGAATTTCAATGAAAATGAAAATGAATTTCAAAAACCAATATGTTTGCACAGCGGAAGTAACAGTAGGAGCAGGCCGAGAGTCCCGGACAAAACTGTCTGCCTTACCGTTTGATTCTCCTCGTCGATATAACGTATGCCGAAGTATGAGGTCTCGATTAAATTGAGCCTGGCAAAGACGACATCCAGCAGAGCCTGGCCCGGCAAATCATCCTGAAAATAGACAAGAAAATTGCTGTTAAAACAGAAGAGTAAGGCGGGGGGAGAAACCAAAGGGATGCTGAGAGGACGAGAGTGGGCTCTGGTCTGAGAGCAAGCGACTGGGCAAAGACTGGGCAAAGGCAAACACTGGGGAAACACTGACAAACTGTTGAGCCATTGAATGGCCACAGCCATGGTCCTCGGTCCTCGGTCCTTGGTTCATGGTGCCCGTTTTGGCCCTGTTTCTCCGGTTGGCTAACTCTCTGCCGTCTGCCGACAAAAGTGAAAACTTCCCGAGTGACAATTATTCAATTGGAAAATTGCTGCCTTTTTTTGGTGCTGCCGCTTATTTCTGTTGCCTTTGCACTTTTCTTTTGCTGTCGCTGTTTGCTGATAAAATAAAAGTGGAAAAATATAATAAAAAAAGGAAAACAGAGAACAAGGACCCAAAGCGTATGCCGCCAAAAAGCAAATAAGAAAATGTCCCCCCCCAAGCCGCCCCCCACAAAAAGCAAAAGCCAAACAATTTATAGCAAATCGAAGTGTGGACAAAGTCGGGCAATCAACAATTTTCTGTTGGTTTAATTTAATTTGTTAAAGCTTTAAAATGCCAATTCCCCTTTTTTGCTCTCTGTGTCTAGTGGCAATAATAAATTGAGTTGATTCTCTGGGGAGACTGCTCTAGTCCTTCTGCTCCTGCTGCCAAAAAAAAAAAAAACAAAAAAAGGTTGCCGCAGCTGCAGGAACCACAAAAAAGCACCCAAACTATGGTCTATGGCCAGGGGCGTACTATTGTTAACCGCAAAGGCTCCTGACACGCCCCTACCTATGGGTCCAGTCCGCCAGTGGGGGATGCGATACTCCTTCATTGTCTGCCACGTGTCTCATGTGTAGCAGCTGGCGCCTCAACATGTTTGATTCTCTCTTCTGGTGGCTGTTTTAATACCCATTACTCAGAGAGTACCCTCAAAGAGTATTTTAAATTCGTGTTAATGTGTTTAATAACTGGATGGGAGCGATTTTTATTCTCTCTCACAGAGCAGCTTAGCAGTAAGGAACGCACGCGTTTCTATCTTTCTGTTTGCATCTGTCTCTTCCTTCACTGTAAGTTCCAGCCTAATATCTAACTTTGCACTACTAAGATCAGAGCATTATATCATATGGCCTGACAAGATAATAAGACAGGATTAATTCTTTATCCATTTACAACATTTTAACAGACAATTTTCTTTAAGCAAATTCACCTTCAAGGGTATCAAATGCTTCGGCACCCTTATACATCATTCCTTCATTGTTTTTTGTTGTGGTTTCCCTCTCTTTTTTTGGCACTGACCAACAGACACTGACTTTTGCCTTTTGTTGCTGGCGTTGCGTTGCCATTGGCACTGCTGTTGTTGCTGCTGTTGTTGCTTTTCCGTTCGACCCGTTGCCATGTTTTATTTATGGTATTTTTGCCTGGCCAAAAGATCCCTTTGGGGGCCACATCCTGCACACACGACGACGATGGGCATCGCATCCCTTTGCCATGCATTCCCTCCACTGTTTTACTGCTGTTGCGTCATAAACTTAATGGCTGGCAAGTGTGAACAAACTGGGATTCGGCCAGGAGCCGAACCGAACTCCGTTTTGAATTTATGTTAAGCATTTTCTGCTGACCCAACCGACTGGCATCGAGATGTTTAAGCTGCCGTTTGGGAATTTCAAGTGCCAGAAAATTGAGTTCAAGATGAAGGCGATGCGAGGGCGATAATCTCTATATGACAACACGTTCTCGCAAAAGTTCCCTCACTCCCAATCAAAGGTCAGAAAACGAGTTGATTTTTGCATATGCTGATGCTCTGGGTTCTCTCCAGAGACATATTTGTATGCGAGTATGTGTGGAAAAACTAATTGCATTTGAGTTTGAGTTGACTGCATTAGATGACAGTCGAGAGTGGAGTGACAGTGACAGCAGAGGCTAAGTGAACGTGCTTTTGCAGTTCCTGGGCACTCTGCTGTTCTGCTGCTATTCGATGCAGTCCCTGCCTTGCAGTCCATGCCATGCAGTCCCTGCCATCCTGCTGTACATCCATTCTATGTCCTGCAGTCCCAGCCATTCTGCTGCTGTCCCTGTCCTGCCTGCCATCCTGCTGCCTTAAATTGCATTACAAATACGTGAACGTGGGCCAAGGACATTAATACAATGGTCCGTACAATTTCGTACACAAGACCATGTCCTTATTGTTGTCACCAGCTCTGTGCGCTGTTATTTCTTTTGTTGGTTTTGGTGTTGTTTTAGATGTTGTTTCCAATGCTTTTATACCATAAAATGCAAGCAGAAAAGTGCATTTTAAAAATGCATAAGAACCATGAGCGTTCATCATATGGTCGGTCTGCCGTTTACTTAGTCAAAGCTCTGACAGGACGATGAGAGCGCAGGAGGAGGAGTTTGTGGCTAATAATGTATGTGCCCCGTAAATGGAATACTTGATGAAGGTGAGTGGCAGTGTAATATAATATCCCTTGAACATGTGCGGAAGAGAGTTTTCCCTTCCCAAAAGCAGCTCCATCCACATCGATCTCTGTACTACATATTATACATATATGTATTGGAATAGACACATATTCATTCGTACACACGTCGCTCCCCTCGTTGAAACTCAAACTAATAGAGAGACCGGCAGACCCCACATAACAAGTTTCCATCCTAATGAACTACGCCTCATGCATGTCGAAGGCCCGAAAGCCTTTCCTTAACGTTATGGCTAAAAATCAACGTTAAAACATGTAAGGGACCGCAATGGCCGGCAATTAATCACAGTGGAAAAAGAGACAGAGTAGCAGTGAGGGGGGGAAACCCGGAAAAACTTGTGCAAACAAAAGTGTTTAAGTCCCAAAAGGTTTTTTCTGGGAGCGTACAACCACTCCCTCTTCTCCACTGACCCTCTCTCACACTCCCTCACTCACTCACTCTCTCTCTCTGACAGAGTTCAATAAATTAGATTTCGCTTGAGCCAGAGTGAAGCGAACGAACCAATGACGTAGTAGATGATGTCTGGGGCATCAAAGGATGATGTGGATGTGGATGTGGATGCGGATGCGGATAGCTGGAAGCTGAGATGCTGATGCTGACAGCAGCGAAAATTGAAGAGAGGGTAACGCCGGATGTGCCCCAACGATGATTATGTTGATGCTAATGATGATTAGGTCTTTGGCTAAAATGTCTTAATCAAATTATGCTTACTTTGATGTTCGAAGGAGTGCTGGCTGCTTGGCTGCTTGGCTGCTTGGATGCTTGGCTGCTGCTGCCTAAAGGACATCGAATCCTGGCCAAGTACACTTAATGAGCTTACATTTTTCCCTAACCAGGAGAGCCTCCTCCACACACTCCACTCCTGTCAGCTGTTGGCAGGCGGCAGGCAACAGGAATAGAAGAAGTTTTGCGCCATGCAACTTAATTAGAGGAACGCCAAGTGGTAAACCGGAAAATATAGCACACATGTCTGGCCACCAGCATTCCATTCCATTCCATTCCATCCCCCAAGTAGCACTCGACGACACTTCTTCTGTGGGAGGGTGGGGTGTGGGGGGGGGCAAAATCCCTGCTAAAACGTAATCAACGTCTTGCCAAAACTTTAACTACGTGACTAACCCAATTCTTGCCTCTTGCGTGTGTGTGCTGAAATCTGCTGCATGTTGTCCCCAAGACTTTAATATAATTAACACATAGTTTATGTTCTCAAAGGGTTCCGTTCCACAGCGTACATTCTAACCCCTTTCTCTGTGGGGTCTCTTCCTCTTGGCATTATGTCAGCTTATTTGTTGCAATTTACAGCGGAAAAAGCTCAGCAAAAAGGGAAAAGCCGTTGCTGCTATGGGGGTCAGGTCAGATGGTGAAAATGCTGGTGCTACTCAGCATCTAAGCATCTGTCCCCCTGGTTGCAACTTCTCTCGTCTGAGGTTCTCTTCTCCCCAATTGCATTGTGCGTATAATTGCGATGCTTGGCTTAAACGTGCGCTGACCTCTGACAAACAGATACACCCAGTGGCAGATGAACCCATATATACATACGTACATATACAGATGCAAAAACAGAGCTGCATTCGTTTGTGTTTATAACGGCATTATGAGTCTAAAGCTCAGAGCAAAAAAAAAACCTAAATAATGCTAGAAAAAACAGCAGCACAAACAAAGCTAAAACAAGAGAGAAATATACACGGAGAAGGACAGAGATAAACATAGAGAAAGACAGAAAAATACAGAGCGAGAGATATGATAACAAAAAGAGAGAGATATACTAAGAGAAAGAAAGAAAGTCCAAGAGACAGAGAGACAAACACTCAGCCGCTTGCAATGTCACAGACAAAACGGCGACAAAATGAAAGAAAAGCAATGGCAGAGGCAACATCGTGTTGGTTGTCGTCGTCTTTATGCACAAAAAAAAAACCCAGTCAGAGAATCCAAATGCTAAAGCAGATTTATGTCCATGCCGTCGCTCCTTCATCCTCCTTCGTCTTCATCTCTTTGGGCATCCAAACGTAGCCCCACGCAACCCCCGCTCGCCCGTGGGGCGCATCACCATATTGGCGCATCGCATCTTCCACCTAACTGAAAAACACATTCAACAAACGAGATTTGCGTAATTCCTGCAGCTCAGCCTCCAAAGGTTCGTCTCCGTCTCTCTTGTTTGCTGTTTGCTGGCTGTTCTCGCCGATGTTGTTTTTGCTGTTGTTGGGCTTTCGGTGGAGATGCCTTTGCCTTATGCTGGAGCATACCCTATGAACAGGTGGGTATCATCGGAAATAGTTAAGGAAATATCCAGCCATTGAAGGAATACCCAAGGAGCAGCAAGAAATTTCCTAATAATATTTTCTTACAATCCAGATCTTATGATCTGGTTTCAAAAGTCCAGCAACTCCCCAAATACTCGCATTTTATCACCCGAAAGCTTGACCCTCTTTCCGGCGTAACCTTTCCCGTAAGCGTATCCATCTGTCAACTTACTTCCTACAAAAGTGTGTTTGTGCTGCTC